AACCAATTAGTGGAAGTGAAAGTCTTACTACCACAGTGCCAAGAGCAGTCCCGCCTACCCTTCCTCAGCTCTGCAGTCAGCATAAATTAGGGCTGATGTATCCATTGAGAGACCATGGAAAATTTCCCAAACGTGTTTTGTTTCCCAAATATCTGCACAGAGACCACATTTGAAGTAGAGAAATTGCAAACCAGAAATAGATGTGAAAAACCCTCTTGCTGGAGAAAGAAGTCATCATCACTGAAGAAAGAAATCCATAAAACTCTAGACTAAAATGAATTTCATCTGAAGACCTTACATATTTTCGGTTCTGTTTTGAGAGGCAGGATGGGGTAATAGGACCAACCAAAATGACAATTTAAAGGCAGAGACTGGACCCTGCTAAGCTGATCACACCCTCTTCGGCAAAGTTTGATCCCCAGCCAGGGAAGTGACCCACATGCTATGGCAGACCTCTCTTGACCTGTCCACTGCTCCCCTCAGCAATGTACTTCAGTACATCTGCTTGTTCTGCTCCCCACTTAGTCTCTGGTGAACCCTCCCCTCACTGCCCCTGCACCTCTGGCCTGTGCCCCAGCTCTGTATGCATAAAGGGCAGAGATGTAGGGCACTTTTGATTCAAATCAGAACTCACTTAGTAATTGTGCAATTTTGCTGGGCAAGTTATTCACCTTCTTGTCTGCTTGGTCTCCTTATCACTAAAATGGGAATAAAAGTAGTTTAGTTATTATAAAGAGTAGGTGATCTACTGCCCCTAAGTCTATTTGTTTTGCTTACAGGATTTTGATGTTGGTATTCCTTTCTTTCTTTGTCTTCTCTCTATTTAAGTGATTTCCCCCATAATTTTAGGCCTTGCGATACCCCCTTGTGATGACAGCTTGCAGAAGCTAAAATCATGAGTACAGTAGCGAAATGCTATGTTCAGAGATATATTTGCTCCCCTGAAACTGACACCTTCACCTGTTGTGCAAGGGTTTGAAGTTTGCAGCCTGGTGTATGTTTATGTGGAGGATACCTATATGACAGATTGGCGTGCTAACGTTGATTGGCAGTCTGGCAAGTTTGGTGGAGACCAGTTCCCTCATCTTTTCTGTTTCCTTTGTTTTAAATGAAATCTCTGGTTTCATTGAGTTGCTATTCATCATCTTACTCTACACTCTGAGATTTTATTGAAGCAATTTCTCCCAATTAAAATAAGCTAATAGGTCTCTTAAATAAGAGAAACCATAGTGACATGTGAAGGCATTGCTGGTCCCTTGGAAAAGAGTGAGCACACAGCTGGAATGTCCATGGAAGTGTTTCTGGGAGAGTGAGATCGAAAATAGAGAATTTCTGTAATAGAAAATGGACACTGATCATTAACCTGAGAGAATGACTGGTCAATACTTCAGACAATGGAAAATCATCTTTTAGAGATGTTTTCTAATCCAAAAGAGGAAGGTATTGGAAAATCTTCCTGACCTATGTTTGTAGTTTCAGTGGCTGTGTTTTACTCTCCTTCAATGTTTCATATTCAGAGATTTTGAACAGTTGTTAATTCTATGCCCAGGAGAACAAAAATCATCAGGACTATAGTAATTTTTAAATGTGGCTTCCTATTTCCTCACATGCTTCTATTAATTGTCTCCCCTCCCCCTTGCTCCCAAATGTTCTTTATGAATTAGTTCATTGAAGTCAATTTTATTGAACTTAGGAATGGTGTATCTTGCTTCAACGTAGTTTCCCTCTGAGTTTATTTGGTTGCTTTTTAAAATATGACTTCTCATCTTCCCTATTTATGAATAATCGTATTTTCAACTTTACATTGTTAACTTCTATGGCAAATAGTTGAACTGTAATCTAACCAATAGTAGAACCAGTTTTTCAGACGTTGCCAAGAAATGAGTCCTTACTTAGCTTGTGTGTAGAAATCTTGTACCGAGAATATTTAAGTTGACTTGTCTTTCCCAGTGCTTCTGAGGAAGGAGCACTCTCATCTACCACCTCTGCCCACATCTGTCAGTTGCCCCTTTGTTCTTCCACCCAAAGAGATCAGTGGTTATGCTTTTAGGGTAATGGTTCACTTGGTGGATTTTGACAAAGTACCATTGACAAATCACCCCTGCAAAGAAACTTTACCTTGATAACTATGAATGAATTTTTGTCTTATAGCTGAGTGAAAGATGTATGTAACATCTGTTGAATAATGATAATGAAGAATGAATGAGAAGAGTTGAAGCTCCAAGATAATAGTATTTTTAGCACTTCTTTCCTACTTCCTTCCCTCCTTCTGGAAGGAATAGTCTGCTTTCTATGTGCACTCAAAGCCTATTTTGGATCACTTTGTAGCAGGGATCAAAGTAGGTGAGCAAGTGACCATCTGAATTCAGGTTATCCTCTTAGAAGTCAGAATTTATGGTTCAATGGGAAATTACTTCTGTTCTTCAAGATCACAAGGGTAATAATGTCAATTTGTATTGCCCACTGGAACACAAAAAGAACAATGTAGACTTTTCTGAAAAAGCTCTCAGATCTCATGAGGCCAAAAATTTTGGATGTTATTGCTTAGTGTGAAGAACCTACAAATTGCTCTTGTTCCCCTTTATTAATTTATCATCGTCCCCACTTAATCCTCATTTTTTCCATTTCATGCTTTCCAGATCTGAAATCTTCCAATAATGGCTTTTATGCATTCTAATGATATTTAATTAGTGATCTTTTATCCATTCTTAGTCTCTCTCCCAAATTATATTAAAAATCAATGGTTGTAACAATTCTAATGACGTGGTATGATATTGGATTGTTTAAGTCTGGTCCCAGGACAATGAAATACAAAAAAACCTCAAAGAACAATACAAGGATATGATACTTTTTTGTCCTTGGTCTCGTTGCTGTGCTTCCCAAGCTTATGGATATAAATTGACAGTTGTGTGTGCCACAATTTATAATCAAATTGGGGATTGAGGATTATGTCGACAGAGATAGTAATCTCGATATTTTAAAGCACATAGTTTCCTAATCTATACTTTTGGATTACCTTTCCTGCTCCCGAAGTATAAGCCAGATGGGATGTTAGCAGTCCATGGCTGAAATGGAATGAAAAGGACATGGAATGAACAGGACACAAGGTGAATGAATGAATGGACAGATGACAAATATATATTTTTTAGAAAAATAGGCAAATGTACATCTTTTTGCTTTGAACACTGTATTAATTTATACATATACATAGCATAAGCATTTCACAGAATTTTGGCACTGTATGCAATTCTATTTTAAGCTATTTTGATTTTTCTCAGCCCCTACTATATTAGCATAATAACATCTAGAATATTTTAGCAATATATTATCACATTTGTACTAGAGCTGCCAGTAATACTCTGTTTTTCCATGTTGTAAACAAAAATAAAAATACCACTACATAAATACTATGATTGGAAAAATACCTTCTTCTCAACACCTCCTTTATATTCAGTAAAGGAGACTTCAGCTACTTAGTATCCAAAATGCATTTTCAGTGAAGAAATATAATTTTCTTTGGGTGCACAAAATATGTAACTAGAATAAGTCAAATATTTTTTTGTCCTTCCATAACTAAATAATTTCTGAAAGGTAGTGAGATAAGATGACACAGATAAGATTTGAGATTTGGAGGGTTTCAATGTATCTCTTCATTTAGCATACAAATTAAATAGTGGTAACTGATTATGTTGCAAATTCAAATTAATTTCAGGTATCGGTAATGATACTGGTTTATTCTGAGGAAGTAAAGAGTGATGTGGGAATATAATATGTAGGTTTTAATGAGAAACTCTACTATTATCTTAAATGAATTGGTATATGGTCAAACCTATAGCAGTTACATTTTTTTCCCTCTTGCTTTGCTAATAGCAGCAAACAAGAGGTCAACTGGAAACTGATTTCTAATTAGCCCTACTGAATCTTCCTGGAAAAGACTGAGATCTTGTTAAGCTTTAAGCTGGGTGGAAGGCAGTTAATGGACTTATATGGAGTCTTTTAATTACCAGTCTTAAGCAAATTTATCTTTTCCTGCTAGATAGCACCCAAGGGCAAGAGGTAATCTGCTTTATAAACCTTGAAGTGATTTGCTTTATAAATCCTAGAGCTTAGGAAAGTAGAAAACTCTCTTTAAAAAGAGTATTCTCTTCCACTAGGAATTATATTTTTGGCAGTTTTGTGAGAAATTTAGTGATGGATTCTTTGTGACCTCCCAATTTATAAACATTAGCCACCAAAGCACATACAATGTGAAAGCCACTTCCTCCAAGCAGTTAGAGCCTGCCCAACAGACAGGATTATTACCAAGCTGAGCATACACTATCAATAAACCAATTAATAAATTGGCCCATCTAAAGATTCAAGCAAATTGTCTCAAAATTTCATTGTCATTCAAAGCATTACATCTTTTGACCAAATGCAGTTCTTTTTCCACATGTACTTAGTCATCTCTGTCTTAGAAAGTCATTTCATCTTGCAGAGGTCACGCAATTTATACAGCTTACATTGCACGGATGGTAAAACATCTGAATAATATCAGAATTGACTGAAATAAAAAAAATTAAAAACCTGATCTATAGCCAAATACAGAAATATTCTAATTCAAAGTCCAGTTAAAAAGAAAAATCTTGACAGCAAATTTGATTTTTCAAAGGTATAAATGGCTCAAGATTAACAAGGAGCACCCTATATCTGAACGAGATCAATTTAATTGTGTTTTTTGTTGGACACTTTGCTTGCACTACTGTGACATCTGCATTTTAGCACTGGATGAAAGATGGAGTTCACAAGTTGCAGTGGGAGACTCCATTCCTAGACTGTCTCCCACAGCAATAGTACCAAGGATAACTTTCTTCAGATTCACTATGGACAAATTTGCTTAATAATTCTTCACAAATGATATGTTCAGCTCCCGGGAGGATGGGAATCACTTGGAACGCATGGTCTATCTTTCTCCCAGGGAATGAAGGCTCAGTGATCACGACGCTGCACTTGCTTCACATTCAAGCGGATGATTCTTGCTCAACGATTTCCAGAGCGATGACCTCAGCACCCTCGTTGCCAAGGTTGTTGGTGGGCTCATTCCTTGGCTCCTGGTGGCAGATGTAAACAGGAAGGTTGTCTCCCTCCGCAGTATCTGCGGCGACAGCAGCAGCAGCGGCAGCAGCGGCAGCAGCAGCAGCATTAGCATTGGAGACGTGGCGGTTATTGCTGGTCATCCAGGGCAGACTCCACTGGGTCTTGAGTTGGGCCCACTGACGCTTCAGGGTAGTTTGCACCTGGAAGAGAAAAGGGAACCATGTTCATATTATGTCAAAAAGACCGGAGTCAAGTTTTTGAACGCAATTCCTGGAGTTTATCAGAGGTGAGAGGAGACTGAGTGGTACTTTTGCTCCAATGGACTGAGCAGGATGGTGGTATTGGATCATCTGGGAAAAGAAATGCAGGCACCCTCAGTGGGAGAATCAACCCGAAGAATATATTTTCAAATACAAAACGTTTATTAAGGGTATTACCAAGTATTTGGTACTCTCTACTATCGCTGCTCCTTGCATCCTTTACACCATTCCCTGAAAGTGCCCATGCTTCCTAATTCCTGGGATTTTGCTTTCATTTTTGCATTAGGGAGGGCTACAGAGTTCAAGAAGAGACTAGACAGATGATATCTGACTTGTATAAAACCACAGGTTGAACCTGTCTAGGGAGAGTACCCCATTGAGTTATCTTTCTGATAAAACATGAGCCTATTTAACTTGTTGACATGTAGTAGAATTCCTCCTTTAGCACCTCTTCAATAACCAAGTCAATATTTAAATGGCTTTGTAGTTCTCTGTTTGACTTTGGATTTGGAGGACTTTTTTTAAGGTTTATTTATTTATTCATACAGAACTGGGGTACAGGCCAGAGATGCGGAGGGTGAGAGGATTCATCAGGAACAGAGTGGGGAGCAGAACAGGCAGATCGACGAAGTACACTGCTGAGGGAGCAGCGGGCGGGTCAGGAGAGGTCTGCCACGCCGTGTGGAGCTCCTCCCGGGTAGGCGGGGATCGAACTCATGCGGAAGTGGCTCAAGCTTCTTAGTGCAGCGCTTTAACCCGCTGCGCCACCAGGGAGGGCCGGATTTGGTGGATTTTTTAACAATGTATTTTCCTGATGAGACTAGCCAGGCTTTATTTGATTTGTACTGTCAATTAAACATTTAAACCTAAAATCTAGGACTAACTCTTGGAATCTGTGAAAGAACTTAATGGATATCAGAGGAAATGGGGGTAAACGAAACAGAGGGGATACTAGTACAGGTAGTTTGTGGAGGGTGAGTAGAGTATGTGTGCATATGGAAGAACAAAAAGGTAATAGCTCTCCCCCCCCCAAATAAAGTTAAAAATTAAGAAAAATGTCAGGTCTATAACCTGGACACCATCAATGCTTTGTTGAGAAACTAGAAAACTTATTGGTTTGGTACAGTAAATTTTTTGAGAAGTAAAGTGTCTCGATAAAGGGGAATTGATTTCCATGGATTTAGCACCTCTCGAGTAACAACACTGTCCTCATAGCTAAAACTTACACAAATATTCAGATGTATCCAACATAGAGAACTACAAGCTTAATGTGGTTTTGGAAAGTGCCCCACAGAAAACATAACAAAAAGTCTTTGTTTCACCTCACCTATTCTAAAATACTCTTGGCTGGAGTGTCCATGCATAATAATGAGGCACCCAGCCCAGCATGAACCCAGAGAATTGTGAAGTCTATTTAAATTTTTAAAAATGGTAATTGCAGAAATATTTATAGACTTCAATAGTTGTATTTCAAAAGCATAACCCATCCTTTCATGTAGAGATGACAATCTGTTTCAATTTGTAAACCACATATATAAAAATAGACCTTAGCATGTAAAAGACACTTCAGTAATTACAGTTTACTACAATATCCCTTGCTATATTCCAGATTAAGTCTATTACTGCTTTAATCTTAAGAATAAAGGTATTACATCTGTTAAAGCAAAACAAAACAAAACACCAGACTTCTGTTGTCAAAAGTTGCTACCAGTCTAACTAAGTTTTGTATGATACAAATTTATCAATTGTCATATAGCAATTAACACAATTATACAGCAATTATCACTTTACTTGGTCCCCTGATTATATTAACTTACTGCTAACTTAAAAAAAAACAAAAAGAGGCCCTCCCTGGTGGCGCAGCGGGCTAAAGCGCAGCACTGAGAATCTGAAGCCACTTCCGCATGAGTTCGATTCCCGCCTGCCGCCTGCCCCGGAGGAGACCACATGGCGAGCCAGACCTCTCCTGGCCCGCCCGCTGCTCCCCTCAGCAGTGTACTTCGTCAGTCTGCCTGTTCTGCTCCCCACTCTGTCTCTGGTGAAGCCTCTCACCGCCCCTGAGCCTCTGGCCTGTACCCCAGTTCTGTATGAATAAATAAATAAATCTTAAAAAAAAAAAAAAAAGTTACAAAAAACAAAAAAACAAAAACAAAAAGAGTCCAGGTCTAAAAACATAATTATTATATTTGACTCTATTTTTGACCAGCTACACGAGGTAGGTATATTATACCTCAGTTTCTATATTAATAAAGAAGAAAGTCAAGTTGGAATTTTCATGGTTGGATTTAAGTAGTTTTGTCTTTGACCTTTGTTTTCCTACAAAGGTCATCACGAAGTACCTGCTACTGGGAGGTAGGCTGTTCCATAGGAGTTTGACCCTATCAATGAAAAGATTTTAAGGTCTACTTCTTCACTCCTTCACTCTCTGCCATCAATACCCCAAAGATCTGCTATAATCTGAGTTTCAAAACTCATGATTTTTAGAACACCTTCATGCCAATTTATTCCTAAATTAAAAAGTACTTGCATGCTTGAACTTTTGCAATCAGACTTTTGGAAGGTGGATTCCTATTAAGCCCTACTAATTAGATGTTATAGATACTCTGAATATTATTCCCAAAGTTGCTACTAATATTTTTCCCCACCCTTTTGGAGGACAATATAGCCGCAATATTGCTACTGGTCTTTGTCCTACAGAATCTATGTGCTTTAGTTTCATAATCCTCTTTCACCACTTAATTTTCTATGGGAAACATTTCTTGTTCTAAAAGAAGACAATAAGTATCATCTGTAATAGGTGAATATTTTAAAAACATTTTATACTTATACTCCCCTCATCCCACCCATTTACTAAGTCAAGGTCAGTCGGTACTTGAACAAATTAGATTCTATCTGAGTAATAGGTCCCAATGGGGTTTCCAGATTAGCAGCATCAGTATCACCTGGGACAAAATCTCAGGCCCTATCCTGTCTACTGCATAGGTAGTCTGTATTAAACTTTCTAGGTGATTCTGATGCATATATAAGTTTGAGATGTTGATCTAGAGCAAAGAAATTTTTAGTTTTGAGTCTAAAGGTGACTTTCCTGTGTCTCTACAAAGATAATAGTTTTGAAAATCAGTCTTTAGTGAATGGAAGAATAAGTTTTTAAATAGAAAAGTGTTCTCTTTGCATACATAGTAAACACATTACTGCTTTTAAAACAATTTTACTACAAGTCGTGAAATGTACACTAAACCTATTAGCACTCCATATCTCTGCTAAAACTTAACACTCAGCCAGGCAAAACCCTATCACAATGTTATGTCAGATGCAGCTGGAAACTAACTTCCTGTAGCTAAGAATGTCCTGCCTGAGCTTAATGTTGTAAGACAACATATTCACAGAAGGCCCAGCTGAGACCCAGATTCCTAAAATCCGTGCAGCTGCGATAATACTTTTGGCACACAAAACAATCTCTAGGTTATTAGAAATGTCACATTTGTACCTCCCCAGTAACAGGATCCTAATTAAAATGGAGATGGTTTCTTTATTTCAAAAAGACTCCAATGAACTAGAAACGTTCAATTGTTGAGAGTACTGCTGAGTTTGCTTTCTTGCCTGTCACTTCAAACATAGCATTATAGTTAAGACACAATAAATATTGAGCTATTTTTACAAAGGTAGGCAATCCCCTCATGTTTTCAAGTTATACCCTTCATGAACTTTATTTTTATATTAGCCCTATGCTGGTATTATTTTAGCTGAAAAAAGTTATTTTATATGCCACCTGAAATAACTGAAAAGGCAAGGACATACATTCACAGAAATTGGAATAAAGATAGGGTGACCTAAGTCTTATTTGTTTTTACTAGTATTTTTTTTTAAAGGATGAGACACTTTAACAGCTGGTAACAAAGGGATGTCTTTTCATTTTTATCTCAGTTTTGTCGCCTAACCCCTAAAAGAGAAGGTTGATGGATTAAGGATGAAAGAAGGCATAAAATGTATCAATTGAAAGGAAGAACAGGAGCAACAAATCTTGGTAAGTTGTGGATAAGGCACAAAGCAGCAAAATATTATAGATGTTCACTAAAAATAGATGCTCACTAAAGAAATAAATAAAGACCATATTAAGTACCAGTTGATAATGGTTAGAAATGTTTCTAATTACTGACAGGAAAATGATATTTGATGAAGTATCACTTGATTTGGTATAAAATTATTCTTCATAACATCTAATTTAAAATATCAAAAATACTTTTAAATTAAAAGTTATGAGGTATAGGCCCTCCCTCGTGGCGCAGTGGGTTAAAGCACAGCACTAAGAAGCTTAAGCCTCTTCCGCATGAGTTCAATCCCCGCCTGTCCTGGAGGTGACCACATGGTGTGGCAGACCTCTCCTGACCTGCCCGCTGCTCCCCTCAGCAGTGTACTTCGTTGATCTGCCTGTTCTGCACCCCACTCTGTCTCTGGTGAATCCTCTCACCCTCTGCATCTCTGGCCTGTACCCCAGTTCTATATGAATAAATAAATAAATCTTAAAAAAAGTCAGGGGGTAATTATAGACACAATGCAATGGAAGATTTACTTTCCTTGACAATCAGGAAATTTGGGTTCTAGTCCTGATTATACAGCTTAATTATTGGGCCACTGGGCCTCCTGCAGCTTAGATTTCTCATCTGAAAAATGTGGGTGTTCTCAAATCATGTTCCCTGAAGCCCTGGAAGTTCTCTGTATGAATTTAAGCAACTCCATTTTTATGTTTTATAAATTGGGTTCCCAGTGATGACTTGGGAAGAAAGGGCAATCTGCAAAAAAAATCCTAAAAATATTAGCCATATAGATCTTCAGATTTTACTCATGTAAATATTCAGAGCACAATTATTTATTGGAATATTCTTTTTTGACTCTTCAGAGTGATTGTCAAAATGCTGAACAAGTGATATGGCACTGGCAGCGAAGCAGTACAAATGGGCTAGATATTGGCTGTGTCTTAGTAAGGGGCTGGGTCTTCAAAGGAAATGGGGCAGAATTTCTTTTTTCTGTGGGAATTCACAATAGCTTTCACTATTCTGCACAGGGTGGGGACTGTTTTAAGGAGCAATCCAAGAAAATTAGAATTTAGCTGCTTCTCTAGATAATACTTGCAAATGTACCCTACAGACAGGATAAGATAGTTTGGAGTAGGGTAAAAGATATGAGGTCCAGGGAGGTCTACTGTATAAGACCCTTTGAAAAACTGTAAATGGCTGGCTTTTTATAAACAAGTGATTGTATTAATGAGCTGCATGCTTACCTCATTGTTGCATAAGCAGTAGATAATCGAGACAAAGAATCCCTGAAAAAAAAAAAGAGGAAAAATAGAGTTATTTTTATGTGCAGTTATTGTTCAGTAATCAATATAAACAGACTCTCTGGAGAGGAACATTTCACTACTTCAATAGCAAGTCAAACCTCACTGAAAAACAATACTACAACTCATTCAGTAATTTACTACAGGATTATTCCATTAGAAATGCATTTTTTTCTGTTATGATTCTATTGTTTGGGTAAAATAGCTCAGGTCAATCTGGTTAATGTGTTACTGTCTTTAACATGGAGATTTGTAGCAGATAATGCTGATTCTAGTGGATTTCAACAGAAATTTTTTAAATTGAGATCTTGTAGAATTTAGTAGAGAAATCTTTGGTAAGTACAAGTGTCACAGAATAAGGCGGCAGGTTTGACCACAACTTGTGTTCTCATTGTGAACTAACACCTATACACAACCAGTCTTCCTGCAAATGAGGAAATGGGCTCAGTGATTTCTGAGGTGCTGGTCACTATTTAGGGGGGTCCCTTGTATCCAAGCTTTAAGTATCTAGCAACAGTCAAAGCAGTGATTCAGATTACTAACACAATCCCTGAGATTTATTTTCAGCTCTATGTATTCTTCACATTCGACCTTCGCAATGGAGACTACAATTAATTTGAAACCTGTGATTCAGAGGGCCAAACTCTGTCCAAAAACTGTGGCAGACTCATCACATCCTAAGGATTGTGCATGTGTCTCTCTGCTTTTACAACACCTCACACTACATCTTCGGTGAGGTTTTGGATCTGGGGGCAGGAGTAAAAGCTGGGCAGCCATTCTCCTCTCCTGTGTGGTAGACACAGGACCCCCCCCAAGATGGTGAAGGGCCCCTCTACTCTCTCCCACGTGAGACCTGAAGATGCTTCCCTTCATTTATCACGGAACTGTCACACGTGAATTCCTGACATCATCCTGATGCTCTGTGCAAATACATTACACCTAATGAAAAACAATCAAATGCTTATTACTGAAAAGGAAGTCTGAAAATTACTATATGAGTGACGTGGGAGAATGTCTGGCTGGGATCAGTGAGCGCCTTGGGGGAAATGCCAAGGCAGAAGAATGAACGAACCTCAAAGAAATAGGCTCCTTTCATGATTTTGGGTGGGTCTGTTGATTTGGAGGCTATAAGTTATGAAATTTAGAATGAGATTTCTTGATTTTGCCATTAACCAGAAAAAGTCTATTTCCTCATTTGTAAGGTAGTCATAATGATAGTTAACCTAACACACATAGAGCTTAATAAATGGTGTATGTATAGTACGCACACACATAAAATTCTGGATTAGATAATGTGATGATATATCTATTTTCTGGGGTCTTCCTGATACTGTAGGGATAGTTATACTGATAGACATTGGAAGAGCATATTTAAAGAATAGTCTAAGACTTTCTGACCTTTCTAATCAGGGCCAAGGTGGTGAAATGCAGTAATTAACAACTGGGCTTCAGTTAAGAGGGATCATGATCAAATGGAGGCATTTCATACTGATGCAAACACCTGCCATTTTCACCTTTTATGACAATAGCAGTATGTACAGAATCCAGGTTTCAGAATTGACAGGCACTGGTCAATTCTGCTCTTCAAATTAGCCCTTAAAAGCAAACACAAATGTGACCCTCAAGGTACTGAAGAGAGGAAGGAAGGTCAGATGGCCGTGGGAGAAGCAGTCTTGTCCTTGGCACTGTGATGCATCAGTCCCTGGACAAATATTTGCCTTCTTAAAGGTGTGTTCTCAACGTTCCTACTTTCCTTCTTTAGTTTAATGATTCAAAAATGGGAAAACAGGCAATGTGAAGGAAAGGAGGCACATCCCTTTCAGGTACATGTATCCTAAAGGGTGTTTCTAATCATAGATGAAACTAAGAAAATATTCACCTTCCTTCTATTAGTTAAGCAAATAGTTGAGTAAATCCACCACTAGCTTTCTTACCTGGAAATGGATCAGAGAGTGCATCAGGTAATCATACATTTTCGCAAGTGTCTTGTTGGAAGGCCTCCAGGGAAAGACAACAAACTGGATCCCCAGCAGGGGCACCAGGATCAGAGTGGCCCTCACCGCCTTCAGGTACATGTGCGATTCAGCATGTTGGTTTTCTCTTATTTTGTTCACAAGCACCCGGACAATGTTGAGCAAGAAGAAGAAATTGACCTGCAAAGATAGCATGTTATGAGTAAATCACCTTTGTCACTACCACCTAAGGACACCCACCTTCCTCAGTTAGTGTTTATCCAGAGTGGGGGGCAGATGCCACCTATGTAGGAGCAAGAGACTGCAGGTAGAACAATTTAGTTACATTTAAAAAATATTGTTGGGACACCGAGCATCCGTGTGTAAAGCCAATGACTGTTTTCAGAGTTGATTAACATTTCCTTTTTTTTTCCTAATGGGGAAAGCATTTTCCCTGTGCTTGTAAATGTATTAGGTTGCACCCTAATAAGGGTATTTATTCTTTATTTTGACTTATCACTTTTTAAAGGAATTCATAAATGACACATTGGATGTTGCTTTCTTGTCTTTTCTTTATGAAGATTTTACCGTTAGCCAGGACTACTTAATTTAAAGTGAAATGAAGACAAAACATGTCTGTAAAGTGTATGTAATGGAGACAGCTAACAGCCTTTTTGAAAATAAAACTGTAAAACAATTTTTTATATTCATTGGTAATTTTTTAATTGAGGCAACATTGATTACAACACTGTATATGATTTGGGGGAATAGGTTCACACCTCCTGAGATGTGTGTCATTACACCACCCCAACCATCAAGTTCTTCACCCTAATAGTAACAATTGAAGAAAGAAAATAACTTAATTGGGGCATAATGTACATTAAATAAAATGGATTTTAAATCTACATTTCAGAAGTTTAGAGAAATGTATGCATCTGTGTAAAAATCATACTAAACAAAAATTATTTCTGTCACTCCAGAAATTTCTTTCCTGCTCTTTGCATATAACATCCCCCTCCTCAAATACTTTAAGCACCACTAATTTCTGTTAATATAGAAATGGAGTACTATATAGTATGTATTCTTTTGTGCTGGTATTCTTTGGTTTAACATGTTATCTATGTGAGTCATTCATTTTGTAGGTATTGGCATTCCATTCATTTTATTTGTTACATGAAAATACATAACTTGTAGACTCATTCTGCTGTTGATGGAAATTAAAATGACTTTAACAATTTGATTATGATTGAATATACTACACATACGCAGAACAGTATCAACAGTCTGAATGGTAACCCTGATAAATCTTTGTTTTCATTTCTCTTAGGTATCAAGGAATGGAACGATCCTTTTGTATATTAAGTATATGCTTAAATTTATGGAAAGCTGTCAAACCATTTTCCATAGAGGTAGTCTCATTTTATATCTGGCCAATACTATATATGAGAATTCAAATTGGTCTTTATCTTTGTAACACTTCATAAACTATTTTTTAGCTCTGAAGATAAGTTTTGAAACTGAAGTGGTCTTGAAATTTTTATTACTTACTTGTAAATGATTAAATTGACCTTTCTACTTGTAACAGAAGTAAACATTCTTGCTAAAAATAAATAAATAAATAAATAATGAAAAAAGAACTTTAGTTATAATAAAACTCTTATGGGGTATTATAAATGTTCAAACTTGTGTCAGTGGGTCCTTGTGAGGACAGTGGTCTACTAAGTATGACATCTGTCTCTGGAGAAGGAAAATGAAACTAAATTTGCATGAGAAAGACCAGGATGATAACCCAATATGATTGGTTACTGATGGATACTTTCTCAAAGCAAGAGACACAGTCTAGATTCAGACAGCTATTTTTCATATTCTTATCCAAAGAAAAGAATGACTTTGAGACCAGTAGGAAAAATGGCTAAATATTAAATTGGATGGCTCTGATACTGCCCAACATAGAGTAAACTACTGGTAGAGATAGGACCTTAAAGATTCAGATAGTCAAAATTTTCCCTTGCCGATTTTACTAGTTATGATTTTGAGTGACTTTAGTGGAATTTTTAAGTCTAGTTTTCCTCATGAGTAACATGAGAAACAGCCTAATGAATCTGTTTTGAAGGTTTTTGTTTGGAATAGGGTGTGTGCAAAGTGCCTAAATTCCTTTGAGTGATCAGTGGTAGTTATGAAGCTGGTTCATGTACCAAATGTGAAATTCAAAATGGTTTTGTCTCACTGTTGTTGTTGTTGTTACTACATAGACAGAATGAAATTATATCCCCAATTATATTAATGTCATTTTGTTAAAAGTCGAAGAGTATCACATCAAATTGCTGTTATCATAGATTATCATTAGCTTCATTTTGAAGTGATGAAACATATGCTACATTTAGCAATCTGTACAGAGATTTTCAAAGAGATAACACTGTTAATAATGGATTTAAAAACCAATTCTCACCACTAATGCTGCCATGACAGGGCCGTGGATGATGTAAAGCAAATGGGTCTCCACACTCAGCCAGCAGCTGGAGAAAAGGTGGGGGGGAACACATGAATACAAACGGATTTTTTTACAAAAATATTAACTTAAAATGCACCATAACACTTACTTGTCATTGAAGTACAGCGCCCTAGTCACAGCATGGATAGTGGTTGGCACCAACGGAAACCCTAAAAATATGAGGAAATACAGATCACACCTGGTTTCTTAGTCTTAGATATAACTACAGCTACATGAAAAATGGTGGTTTATTTTCAATAGTGGCAAGTGTACTATCTCTGTCAAGATATTTCCCTGTTTTTGCACACATGATCTTTAGTGAAACCAGGTAAAAATGCTCTCAAGAGTAGCATTTGCCTTTAGAAAGTTTGATTAAGAGATTCTATGTAATGAAAGCCTTTTACAAATTATCCAGTAGGATAAGCATGTTACTACTCTCAACATGAGTAGTATGTCATTTTTATGGCAGTAGTGATGCCAATGATGATGATGATGTTGATAACTACTAATTGAAAGATTTCAGAAAGATTTTCATTGTACTCTTTTAGCTGTACTCTTTTATGGGGAGGATGTGGGTCAATGGACAGGGAGTGCCCTGTGGCAGCATGTGGAAGCAACAGCTGGATTGCTCAGAAAGCAGTGCTCCTCATATTTCTCCTAGGCTCTCCCGGCCTTTATATTATAGGCATTGATTCTGCTTTCTTTCAATAAGAACACTTCAGAGTATCTAACATGTACCCTAAGTTCTGATTGCATGAATCTTTATTAATGGAATTTAGTATCTATCTACTTCCCTTATTAAACTTGAAGAGTTGGTAAAAAGCAACTTTGGAAATTTACAAGCATATCAGTGAAGATAGTTTCTGGCAACACATTCTGTTAGGCTATGTCTTTTTGTGTAGATGAGGAACAATCAACATGACCTTATATTTGTTTCAGGTGTAGAACAATTAGTATCAATATTGTATATACTGTCAAAATGATCACCAAAGTAAGTCTTAGTTAACCTCCATCACCACAAATAATTGCGCATTTCTTTTTTGTGTGACGAGAAGGTTTAATATTTGCTGTCCTAGGAACGTTTAATAAGCAATGTAGTACTATTAACTACAGTTACCATCTTTTATCTTTTTAAAATCAATTTTCATTTTTTAAATGCCGTCGAGAATCAAGCTGTGATTCAGGTAGAAAAAAGATCTTCTTTTTTTTCAGATGTACTCATGCACATTAGAAACTTACTTGAATTAGTTGGGATGTTTGTAGATTTTTAAGAAATTATCAACAGATTAAGAAGTGTGTCTCAAAAGTGAATTAGAACTATACACCTTTTCTTCTGTGAATAATATGCAAAAAAGAATGCCTCAGAATTTTGAGTTTTCATCCATGAAGAACTTCAACTATTAAATTCACAAAACATATACTTCAATAGAAACATTGATTAAATGTTTGAAATAATTCTATGCCTATTTACACAAAACATAATTGTGTTTTGTTCAGTGTAACATAGCCCCCTCCTGGTTTTAAAAAGAGTAACTCATTCTCTGGATTTATTTTGAAATACATATTTTAGAATTCCATAGCAAGAGAGCCAATGGAGATTTCACTCACATCTCATCATTTTGCAGTATGAAAAATGTACATGTTAATATAAAGAGGCACAGAGACCTGTTCATTACTACGGCACTCCACCTTCCTCCCGCCATGATGCCTTTTTATGCAGGCTGTCTTTTCTTTCTTCTTCCACATCTCCCTCTAGGCTTCAAGGCATATCTCTCTCTAGGCTTCAAGACACAGAGTAATCCTTCTGTCTCATTAACTACGGGATAGGTTAAAATACTCCTTTCTCGATCCTCCCTGGTGGCACAGCACTAAGAAGCTAAAGCCACTTCCACATGAGTTCTATCCCCGCCTGCCCCAGGTGATCCACTTGGCGCGGCAGACCTCTCCTGACCTGCCTGCCGCTCCCCTCGGCAGTGTACTTCAACGATCTGCCTGTCCTGATCCCCACTCTGTCTCTGGTGAATCCTCTCACCGCCCCTGCAACTCTGGCTTGTACCCCAGTTCTGTATGCACAAATAAATCTTTTTTTTTAAAAAATACTCTTTTCTCGCTAGGGTTCTTTTGTGAAGGGGCTAAATAAGCCCATCTGTTTATCATAAACGTCCATGGGGGGAACTTTCTTCTTTGATTTCTAAAAAGAGAAGAACTAACAAGGCAAAGAATCAATCTGAAAAGGGTTTTAAAATAAATGCTTTTTTTTTTCCTCTGAGGACTAAAACTTCAGCATTTGAAGTTGCTTTGATTTGAGAGAAATTGGTCAGTTATTGGCCTTTTGAAGAATAGGATGGGAATTCCTATGGAAAGAAGCAAATGTTCACTTTCTTTTGGGTAAAATTTCACCATCAGACACTTTTTCACTCAAAGGGTGATGTCTTTTACAATCTTTGAGATCCTTTCTAGATCACAGCTGAAATGACTACATTAGTGGACCATCATCTGCAAAGTTAGATCTTAGCACATTTGTTTCTTGGGCCAAATCTTCTGCTCCCTCAGTTTCATACTCCTTTCAAAGTATATGCCTTACTTCTTGATATTATAAAATTTAGTATCATAGTATTTTAATGGGAAAGGAATCTCAAAAGGACAATAAAGGGGTTCTTTAGTATAATTTTATTTTTTGTTCCATCAAATTCTTAAAAGTTTCTGTGAAACTTGCTTCAGAAGTTATTTTGGTTGCATTTTTAATTGTTTCCTCCCATTCAAAGATAATGCTTGCCTAAAGTTCTAGGAGAGGGCTATTGCTTTAAAATATATCATCATATGTCTTTCAAATTTTCTCTCAGAGCTGAGATTGGGTGGTGTGAATAAATCTTATGAATATTCAGTGGTATGGTGTTCATGTGTGTATGTGTGTATGTGTATATGCAGAAACACAGATTTAGCTCTGGCATGCTAAAAAAGGGAGTCTTTCCAAACATTTGTGCAAATTCTTCCAATTCTTTTAAATTGACGATCCTGTGTCTACCTCAGAGATTGCAATTTCTTTAGGATTTTACTTGACCCATCTTGATAAAGTTCTAAGTATTTTGTGATTAAATACTTATGTCCCATAATTATTTTACTTGTATTCATTACCTTCTTTTTGATTCAGCTGTCCTTTTTTTTCCTTTGAATTGTTTATGTGTGTTAAGCAGATGTCTTCCTCGAGTTGTCTATGGTGATGCCAAAGAGTTCTGTAACTAATTCCTAGTGCTTTGTTTGGAAAGAGACATATAAGTTGTTCCTTCCATGATGCCCTCATCTCTGCTGAATGTCACAGGCAAGAATAAATGTATAGTCTTTTTATCTCCCATGGAAGATTTTCTCAATGTGGCAGAAAAAAAGGTTTTGAATAATCAAAACTGGTACAAGAAGTAAGCAATATACTTTATTTCAAAGGGAATATGTAAAATGGGTCAGAAATGGTGTGTGTGTGTGTGTATGTTTTTGTGGTATGGGATATTACTTTCTTCAACTGGAAGATATGTGACTAAGAACTTCTACTATATGATGATCAGAATAGCAATTGGAGGGATTGAAATATACCAGATAAGTGTCCTAGCAAGACAAACTTTGGAAGACTAGGATTCATTGTGGCAATATTATGAGCCTGAGAAGGGCAGGAAAAGGAAAGTTTAGCTTCTGTGGATAGCTGGAGCTAAAAGAAATGAAAATCAAAACAAAACAACCAAAGACCGCTTTGAATGCACAGTGGCCTATGTTGGGGACTGGAAATAATAGGAGAAACTAGCATCTGTTATGGAAGGTAATAACCAGCCTGATTTCTAATGTCACTGGACTATTAAAGAAACAGGATGCTGGGCTTGCTCCCCAGTCTACAGATTAGGTGGTTTGGGGTGTATACTAAATGGTGTCTAGTTTGCAAGACTCTTCTCCCATTTGTTTTGGGTGGATTACCCATTCTCAGAAGTGCTTGCATTATGTGACAATATCCTTTCCCTTAATGGTCTTGAATCAAAGGTTGTCTTGCCCCTGATATTCAGAATTGGCACTTACAGACAGGCATTTAATTTTCTCTCTGTACCTAGAACAGAAAAACATGAACTCAGGGAGTTGTGGGCTCTCTGTATTTACCATTAGGATTAGGGGAGTAGAGACCCTATAGTCTAAGGCCTAAGAGAAAGAGAAGAGTTAAAGCATATATTTGGAGAAAAGCAGAGACAAAAGACAGAGGGAGAGTTCTTCTCACTGGCGCCAAGGTCTACCGATTTTTAGTAGCCCAGCTACATTTTAACCTTGACTTCTATAAAATACACTAGATTTTCATCAGTTTTCTTTTGGCTTAAATTAAAACATCATATTCTCTGCTACAAGCAACCAAAGAACTGTAGCATCATTAGTTCACTTCTGAGGCACCTAAAATATCACTCTTATTAATCCACCATTATAAGATTATCTCATTGGGTTTGAACATGTATGTGACTAAAATCCATATATTCCTATTAAGGCGGGATGTAACGGGAACACATATTTTTGGAATCAACCACAGTATAGATTGTGGAAAAGACTTTGGCTCCTTATGTGACTGCCCAGAGGCTGTTCTATAGTTCTATGAGGCCAGTAACTGTGCCTTTGGGCAGACATTTGAAAACAAAGGTTGATGTTTTCAGAAAACCTTTGGGTTATCTTTCCTCCTAATTAAATCTTTCTTTTCTTATCGGTACTTTGTGGGGTTCTCCAAAATGCTGTATTAAAGGCCATTCTTAGTTGAAGGCATGCCATACACTTTGCTTAATCACACTTTCATGGATAGTGTGGGCAACATTAGGCTCCACAGTCGGTGTGGATACTTTAAGAGTCTTACTCACACTTTCATGAATAGTGTGGGCAATGTTGGGCTCAACAGTCGGTGTGGAATGGCCCACAGCTTCCTTCTCTGGTATAGGAGTTTCACAGATATGTTTTGTTTATTATTTATTTTATAAGGAAACATGTTTTTGTTCTGAAGCTTTTTCTGTCTGCTTGTCTAACTGTCTCTTTGTTCCTCTTCAGCCAGAGAGAGCTGGACTTTAGTAGCTATGGAAGATTGCAAAGAATCCTCAGGGACCTTAGCATCTCACCATACCCAGTCCTCTTAAATCATATAAATGTAGATTTTCAAAGCCATTGCCATATGCTATGATGTCAGGTAGGCTCTAACTAGAAGGTTGAAGTATGATATCTAATGCTTAGCTGGGGCGGGGGGTGGGGTCCAGTTGCTGAAATTTCACTGGAGGTAAACTGATGGGCTGACTAGAAGGCATGTTATTGAAGGTTAGTGGGGTCAGGGTGGAGGTGGTACACAATATATGACATGAAATTCTCCTTAATTCTACAAACAGGTGATAAATAAAACTGAAGGACTAATCACAACCAGGGCATGCTTTTCATTCAGCTACTGGCTGGGTTTGCTTCGTGAAGACATTCTCTTAATCACACCTTCCTGCTCTGCACTGACCTCCATGTTCACCATACTGTATATGAGCTTCATAAAGGATTTCTACCAAGCTCTCTTGGAAACTGTGCTCTTGCCACCACCTGTGTCCCACCATGCCTTAGGATGCAGGTTGTTTTGAGTTGAGACTAGAAGAAGACTGTAAATATTCAAATAGACTCAGCTAAAGAAAATACATACCCCAGCCCAAGAGATAATACCACCGCAACTGATTTTTATCAGTAAACACGGCCACCACGATGAGTGTGTGAAGATAGATCCCTTCGCAGAGCATCCAGAAGTAATTGCATGCCATCATGTACTGGTGAAAGAAATGCAAAATCTTGCAGCTCACCTGTCAGAAAGAAATGGAAATACTCAGTGGAAGACATTGGCAAGAGTCTGTCAGTGAAAGAAAGAAGTTGTGAAAATGAGACAAAGGATCTGCTTTCGGCTTGCAAGGCAGTTTCTCCAAGTATGTGTCAACATGTGCCACACTTATATCCACAAATCCAAGTGACAGTGTTATTACATGTACCTGGTATTCTATGGAAACAGCCTACCAGGGTAATGGGGCCAAGTTCCTCAAATGCAGTTTTCCTATTACATTCTGGCTGATTTGCACCGATAGATTCATTTTCCTGCAACATGTCTGTAACCCATAGTTTTTGATAGTATAAAAGGATTCGTCACATGACTTTTATGGGCCTTTTTCTATGGCCAGGGAAGCAAATAATCCAGACATTTTGGTGCTGTTCCTGAAGTTCACTGATCTATTTATGAGGATTATGTTCCTACAAGCCTCTTGGTTACATTTACTAACCAATCACTGTATTTTAAGTATTTTTGTGACATCTTTATATTATTGATTCCTTAACATTAACTTCATGGACAATAGTACTAACCTCTGCCTCAAGAAAGTATATCTGATTCTTATATTTTCTCTGTAAGTCATAAGTTTATTTGTTCCTCAGAACACTAAACCACATTTCTGCTGATTTTAAACAGTGAAATCACCAACAAAAAGCCCACAATGAGAAAAATATATCACAAAATGGACCATGAAAAGGACATAGATTTACAATATGTGAATTGAAACAAGAAGATAGGGCATCATCTTGTTTGACCTTAGCCAGGATCATGTGTGTATCAAATAACTCAATTTTTTTGTCTATTTGCTCTTCCTGTGAATAACCACGAAAACATTGGGGGTATTGGTTTTGGAGTTACAAGTAAGCAAATCAGCAGATTTTGTAAACATGGAATCTGTGTACAAGGAGGATCAGTTATATTTGGGTCCAGTATAAAACAAATCAGTAAGAGGGCTTAAATGTTCACAAAAATTATGAAAATCACATCTATAACGTTTTTTCCCTACCTTTCCTAGACATAATTAGGTAAGTCTAGAATGCTTATAAAATTGGTCACCATTTAGATCAATAGCTGCTTATCAGTATCATTTGAGGTGCATTTACAAAAAATATATAAACAGATCTCATCTCCCTTCTGTGTTTTCAAAATAGCTTTAAGGATTTCTAATGTAAATACCTAACTAAAAATCATATACTCAACCCCTGCACCTCTGGCCTGTACCCCAATTCTTTATGCATAAATAAATAAAATTTTTTTTAAAAAAATCATGTACTTAAGATTTTAAGGGCATTCAAGTACATTTAACAAACATTTGTTGTGTACTTGAGAACATAATTTTTAAGTCTTCCAAGATGAATAATATATAGTCACAGAGTCCCTGACTTAATTATGACTCTTCTATCAATGCTGTTTGGCTTTTATTTAAAACAAAAAACAAACAAACAAGAAAAAACTTGCAATGTCTCTCCTTTCAATGGTAAAATAGTCTTAGGTGAATATTTTCATTTCACATAGTTAGACACAGTAGAAACATAAGGAACATTTATAAGATGTTTGGGCTTTTGTTGTTGTTGTTTTTATAACAAAGGCAAAGAAGAATTCAAAATAATATAATTTTTAAAGGACTTTTTCTTTTTTTTTTTTTAAGATTTATTTATTTGTGCATACAGAACTGGGGTACAGGCCAGAGGCTCAGGGGCAGTGAGAGGCTTCACCAGAGACAGAGTGGGGAGCAGAACAGGCAAATCAATGAAGTACACTGCTGAGGGGAGCAGCGGGCCAGCCAGGAGAGGTCTGCCACACCATGTGGTCACCTCGGCATGCCGAAGGGGCTTCAGCTTCTCAGTGCAGTGCTTTAACCCGCTGCGCCACCAGGGAGGGCCAAAAGGACTTTTTCTTTAAGAGTTAGGTTAAAATGCATATTTTATTACTTATTACAGTTTATTTGTGCCTCAGAACACCAGGCTAATAAGTCTGCATAAGCTATGTTTGTGTTTCTGTTTTGATTCCTGGGCTAGGTCCTAAGGTTGCAAAGATAAAGTTTAGTGCTACAACTAAGAATGTCACCTTTGGTGAGGAGATAAATACAGAAACAAATACATACAACCATACATGATTTCTTAAAAAGGTATGCCCTACATCCAACTTCAAAATTTTTTTTTCAGGTACATAACAAAGCCTGCCACCTAAATTAGAGGGGATAAATAAATTGGACTGATGGGGTCTGCGTTATTAACATTAAATAATCCATTCACTCTGAATTTATAGATCCTGCTAAAATTGAACACATTAATGAACATTATCATGTACTATGTTCTTCCTCCAATTTTTGCATTATTTGAGGACTACAGTGCAGACTTCTAGCAAAATGTGTGACCTGCTATAAATTCACTTCTCACATTTTCATAGAAAATATTGAAGAAAATGAAGAACATGCAGATAATTTCTCTTCTTTCCCTTTGTTATTGGAGGCTATTACAAGTTTGGAAACTTACTGAAATTAAATCAATTTTACTGTACGCATAATTAATAACTCAAAATAGTGAAACATTAGCTTGAAATCAAACTATACTTTCTTGAGCAGGGGAAGAAGAATCAATTTTTTAGATATTTTATTCAACGGTGAAAAAACTTTCAAAAGCCTCAATGAAAAAAAGATTTGTGATTTATGTTGCCAGGTTAATTTTTTTTGTTAAATTTCATTTATGTGTGGGACCTCCCTGGTGGCACAACGGATTAAAGTGCAGCACTGTGAAGCTATTCATAGCCACTGCAGCATGGGTTCGATGCCCAGCTAGGGAGGTGACCCACATGGCATGACAGACCTCTCCTGACCCTCCCACTGCTCCCCATCAGCAGTGTGTTTCAGTACATCTGTCTGTCTCCCCATCCTGTTTCTAGTGAATCCTCTCACCCTCAGCACCTCTGGCCTGTACCCCAGTTCTTGCATGAATAAATGTTTAAAAAAATTTCACTTACTGGGCATTTAGATTACATATTGAATGAATATATAATTGCTGTTAAGTGTGTCTGCCTAATTTATCTTTCCGTCTCTTTTGCTTCTGACACGTTCTTCCTCAGAATTTAAATCCATAATATTTTCACGTGAATAGGTGAATAGTAGATGCTTTCTAAACCAGAATGAATATGACTTTGAGCAGTGTATATAATGCTCATTGAAAGGATTTTAAATTCCAATTTGATTTTTCATCAAGTTCTACTTAACCAAGATTTAACAAATAAATTCCAGGGACTCTTTGCCTTCATTGTCCTATTCTTGCAAATGTCTATAAAGATCAGTACCTATTTGAAGGGGTCAGGATACTGACTTAAGGAGAAAATGTGCAACAACTGAAGGATCCCTGCTGGCACATGTTGAGTCTTTGTCACATTCTTCTAAATGTCCAGTGAGATATCTGTAGAGGCAACATCCCTGAGGTCTGCTACACCCTGTCATTTAAACCCTGTGGACATGGTAAACAGCTGTTTCGTACACTGATCTTCAAATTAGGCATATGAATTCTTTCTGCAAACACTCCTGTCTTAATGATTTGAAGTTAATCTTAATATATTTTCAGTTTTGTGATAATGTTCAAGTAAAATATTAAAAAAAATAGTTTCCTATGAATTTGCTAGTTTAATTTTGATAATAAACTGGCTTTGCAGCCTGTAACAATGGTCGATCTTTTGCAATTAATTTACACTGCATGAAAATCATCCAGAACATTTCAAGCCCCTTGTTAAATGAAAAATCCATAATCACTTTTATTTACTCATAAAGGGGTGACGTAAGACTTCTATTTTGCCTGAATCCAATTCCATGTAACATTAAGATGGGTATTTTCCACTGAAATACTATATGAGTGTGATGGAAACATTTTTCCATGGTGGCCATCTTTACAGGAAACCTTTTAGATGTATTTTTGCTGGTCCTCTTATTTCAAGTAGAGGAAAACAAACTTGCTGTTTCAGATTTACTCAATGTCCTTTTTTCTAACCTCCAAACTCTGGTTCTTCAGAAATAGAAGTAGAAATTCCAGCAAAAACATACAAATGACAAACAACAGAAAAAAAAGTCTTGGTTTTTACACCCTTGATCAGTCTGTCATGATCCATGAGAAGGAATTTTAATTTGGGGTTTCTCTTTTTAAATTGAGATACAATTGACCAGAATAGTTTTAAAGTAATGTTACTGGAGAAGAGTTTCAGAATTCGCTGTTAGTTTCATAAGAAAATCATTTACAAATGATCTCATTTTCTTTGTGGCATGATTTTTTTTTTTTAATTTTAAAAGAACAGGTTTATTAGGAAAAGGAGAAAAGAGAGGAGAGACTGTCTGGTGCTTTTGAAAGAAAATAGTTTGTGAAAAGAAACCTTTTTCATCAACATAAGTGTAGCCATGAGCAGGCAGTTTGGGATGAGAGCTGCCTGGCTGGAAGTGTGAGCTCATTTCTCATTCCAGGGATACATTCTTGACAAAATAGGAGATAGTGGATCTAATGAGATGAGGGATGTTAAAAGAATTTTATTTCCCTTACTTAATTTTTTGAAGTAGTGAATTGTAATTTGAGATATATCAAGGGAGAATGAGATATCTGAGTATTTTGGTATGAAATTAAAGTTGAATTATTTTAGATTTTGTGAAGTCAAGGACTCCTTTTTATCATCTTTTCCACTGCTTTTAATTTTGAAACAACATCAGTTTTAAAGAATTTACAATAAGATGCAACAAAAGATTAATGATGTTATTTATCACTGCTGCTTCTTATCATTTTGGAAATTAGTTTAAAGCAGGAAAGATGCCTAGAACACAGGTATTCTCAAATTGTAGTGTGCATAAGAATCTCTTTGCAGGGTCATATATTATACCTACTGGATAATTTAAGGGATATTTGGAGGTTAAAATTGACTATATGAAGATTTAATTTTATATATAATGTGAATAGCCATCACCCCAGTAGGCAACCATTCTACTGTACTGCC